ATAGAAAAAATATGATATATGAGATTGATAGAAAATATGATATTTGTACTTGATATAAGATTTTGATATATGAATCTGAAATATATATATATATATATATATATATATATATATATATATATTATATATATATATATATATACATGATATATGAATTTGGATATATCATAACCTGGAAATGTGCATCATACGAAGAATGAAAAATGAAGATGATCATACTTATCAAGAGGCATTCTTATGATAAAATGAAATTATGATAATAATGTTGATAAAATACATAATGAAGTGTTTCATATGAAAATGCGTATTATAGGAAATGGAAATAAGGATGGCGGCATAAAGCTGAATATTATTATCATTATTATCAATAAAAGTAATAATAATGAAGATAATAAAAGTAATGGCAATGATAATAATAACAAAAGTCATGATGATGATGATGATTATAATGATAAAATAATAAGGATAATCATAATTGTAATGCGATCATGATTATGATAATAATGATTAAATGATCATGAAAAATACCACACAATAGTAATAATGACAAAATATGAAAGAAACGTTAATACTGATAAGAGTGATAAGAATAAATGATAATATTAAAAAATGAATAATAATGATAGTGATTGAAAAGTGATGATAATAATAATAATGAATAATAATTAATGGTGAGGATATAACAATAATAAGAAGTAATGATAATATGATAATAATGATGATAATAATAATAATATATNGAGAGAGAGAAGGAGAGAAAGAGAGAGAGGATCGCCTCGCTTCACAGCCCATCGTTTCCATTCAGCAAAATATTTCGAGCGATCTTAACTGCTGCTCATCACATATTTCCAGCTGAAGCCCTCGTGGACAGCTGCTTTCACAACGGCTTGGGGTGAATTGGTCATTCTCAGGTCGCTTACTTTGGCCTCGGGTTCCTGCCGGCGGGAGGCCCTGGCGCCGATCTAAGGGGCGGGGTGCTTGGCCGCGCGGTGCCTGCGCAGGAGGACGGCGTGCGTGGTGCGGTACTGGCACAGGTCGCAGCGGAAGGGCCGCAGCACGCCCCCCTGGTGCCGGGTCAGCTCGTGCCGCTTCAGGTCGTTGCTGCGGCGGGTTTTGTAGTCGCAGAGCGCGCACACGTAGGGCCAGCCGCCCGTGTGGACGCGCACGTGGTTGTTCAGCTCGATCTTGTTGCCGCTCTTGAAGCCGCACATGTGGCACGTGTAGATGCCCAGGATGGGCGGCTCCTCGTCCGGGTAGGCGGGAGGCAGGTGGTGGGTGGGTGGCAGGCAGGGCGCGGAGGCCGGGACCAGCAGCCCCCCTCCTCCTTCTCCTCCTCCTACCTGAAAAGACACCTGGCATTACTTGGGGCGCACTCACCCACGCGCCCGCGAGCGCCCCACCCAAGCCCGCCCGGCCGCTGCCTCCGCGCACCCGGGGCGCAGCGCCTGGCCTATGCTCTCCGCGCTCTCTTGGTCCGTTCATTGCTTTCGCTTTAACTGTACAAACATGAATGGGAATCTAAAGCTACGAGACGACTCCCCAGCCAGGCAGACGCCCGCGTCCCCGAGCCTCGACTCGGCAGACCAGACCGCCCTCAGGACAGCAAGACAGCGAGGCTCCAGCGGACTGAAGCCTCGGCTCCGTACCTCGCCGGGCCAGCGAGCCGCCCTACGGATGGGCGTAGTTCGGGTGCTTGGAGGCGATGTGCGCGTGCAGGTGGATGGCGCCCGTGGTGCGGTAGGGGCACACGGGGCACCGGTGCGGCCGCTGCAGCTCCCCAAAGTGGCGGCTCTGCAGGTGGCGCTTCAGGTCGTGGCTGCGGTTGGTCTTGTAGTTGCACTGCGTGCACACGAAGGCGAAGCCGCCCGTGTGCTGCCGAACGTGCTCGCTCAGGAAGTACTTGCTGACGGCGCGCTTGTGGCAGATGGGGCACGTGAGGGAAGACTCGCCCGCCGGGGACGCGGGGCTGCCGCCGTCTCCCGCCGCTAGACCGCCGCCGCCGCCGCCGCCGCCGCTCATCTGCAAAGACAGTCAGCGATGTACTCCGGCGCTCCTCACTCTGGCTCAGCAAGACCTTACCTCCACCACCGCCACCTACAACAACAACAACAACCGCTCGCCCGCCCTCACGCCCACCACCAGCCAGAGGCGCCTCACCTTCTCTGGCGCGGGACCACTCCGAGCTCCGGGACCGCGACGCCGGCGCCCCTTCGACCAACGCCGAGACTCCTTCCTGAAGAAGTGGTCTTGCGTGACTCGTCTGTGTGCGTGCTGAGGGTGCGTGTGGATCCTGTGGTGTTTGCGTCGACGGAGGGAACCGGTGACTGTTCTTTGTTATTGTATTCACCTTGAGCAGTACTAGCTTTTGGGCAGTGTGCGTCGGACATACGTACTACACTGGTCGCAAATTTATGCATTTAGTTTCAATGTACTGCATATTCTGCCATCTTTTGACAAGCATAGATCTCTCTCTCTCTCTCTCTCTCTCTCTCTCTCTCTC